GGGTGTTTGATAGGAAAAGAAGATAGGCTAGTCATGTGGTGAAGGCAAGGGATAACAGGTGGCCAGCCTGAGTACTTTACTGATACCCTCACAATGTTAGGAGCTACTGAATCACTATTGATTAGAGAAATGCAAATTAAAACAACTTTGAGGTACTAATCATACCTATCAGATTGGCTAGTATGACAGAAAAGGAAAATGATAAATGTTGGAGAAGATGTAGGAAAATTGGAACACCAATGCATTGTTGGTAGAGTTGTGAACTAATCCAAACATTCTGGAAAGCAATTTGGAACCAAAGGGCTATAAAACAATACCTCTACTAGGTCTGTATTCTAAAGAGATCATAAAAATGAAAAAATGACCCACATGTACAAAAATATTTATAGCAGCCTTTTTTGTAGTGGCAAAGAATTGGAAATTGAGGGGATACCTATCAATTGGGGAATGGCTGAACAAGTTTGTGGTATATGAATGTAATGGTATACTATTGTGCCATAAGAAATGATGAGCAGGTGGATTTCAGAAAAACCTGCACTTACATGAACTGATGCTGAGTGAAGTGAGCAGAATCAGGAGAATATTGTACATAGTAACAGCAACATTGTGAGATGATCAACTATGACAGACTTAGCTCTTCTTAGCAATACAACAATCTAAGACAATTCCAAGACTCGTTATGGAAAATGCAGTCCACATCCAGAGAAAGAACTATGGCATCTGAATGCAGATCAAAGCATACTATTTTCACTTTTTTGTGTTTTTTATTTTTCTTTCTTGTGGTTTTTCCTTTTGTTCTGATTCTTTTTTCACAACATGACTAATGTGGAAATATATTTAACGTCATTGTACATGTATAGCCTATATCAGATTGCTTGCTGTCTTGGGGAGGGGAAAGGGAAGGGAAGGAGGGAGAAAATTTTGGAACTCAAAATCTTATAAAATGAATGTTGAAAACTAGCTTTACATGTAATTGAAAAAAAGAAAATATTAAGTGAGAGGAAAAAAGAAAAAAAGTTAGAAGCCAAGAGGGTCTCCAGCATGTTCAGTGAACCCCTTGTGATGAACTTAGAGGAGGATATGACCAAGAGTCTCACAGGGTGGGAAGGCATAGATGGGTGACAATTTACATTGTTGGAGGAAACTCCCAAATTAATAAGATCATAGATCCATCTGAATTTTTGAGGGAAGGAGGATTTGGAGAAGGGAAACTGCAGGAAGGGAGGGCTCGGGCAAATCATTTAACCTTTCAAAGGTCTAGGCAACTTTCTACATTGGAGAATGGTTGCTGGTCTCTCTAGAGAGAGGTTTTCCCTGGGCAGTTCCCAACTCTAATGAAATCAGTCGGGAAAAATAATAATAATGTTGCATTTCATGTTGATATGCAAAACCTCAGTGTGAATGTTACAGCATAAGGACATAAGCTGTTTTTCCCTTTGAGAACAACAAGTAGAATTGAATGAAGACAGCTTTAATGCAATCTTGAAGATGGTTCACATGCATTTTAATGAAAATAAAACCATGAAATTTATATAAACTCCAGGATGATTTTTTTTGTTTGTTTCTCACAAAAACATTTAAAAAAATAAATTAAACATGCCTCTAACCACTAGACAGAGAGATGATGAATTTAAAATGAAGAAAGAGGTATTTTCAGACATTGGTAAAGTGGGAATTTGTTTAGCTAGCAAGACAGCTACATAGCTCTATTTCAAGAGATTTGAGTTTTGTTTTGCTCATTGAAGGGTACTAGGAATAGTGGGAGAAACAGATTAATTTTAAGATGACTTGTTGCTTGAAAAATAAAACGATAGACTACATTTTTTAAACACTTCAAAATCATGGAACATTGTTTATTCATGTTTGTGTTTGTGATTTCATTGATTTAAAGAACTCCTGATTTGGAAACAGTCTCCATTGATTCAGATCAGCAATTCATCTGTAACTAGTAATTTTATAAGACTCTGGGACCCTGAGAGTTTAAGTTATTTGCTCATAGTCAGTCATATAGCTAGGCTGTGTCAGATACAAGTCTTCTATACTCCAAGATTGGCCTCATATCCCCTTTGTCACACTGCCACACAGAAGGTTATTATTATTAATAAAAGCAGTCCCTTTCCCTCTACTTCCCCAGTTACAACTCTACTGCAGATCTTCAGCACCTTGTACCTGTCTCCCCGCCTCAGTTCTATTTCTATTCCAAACTATCCTCCACTCAGCTACCAAGGTAATTTTTCTAACACATTTTCTAACACATGTTACCTTCCCTACTCAATAAACTTTAGTGGCTCCTGTAGCAAGTAAGCTCTGGTTCACTGTCCCAGAGTCAAGGTGCTACTAGAACTTTAGAGTTCTAGGTATACCCCTGAGAGGGCTAGAAATGCTCCTCTAATGCTTTCTGTTTGAGTTCCCCCCACTATAAACTACCAGAGTAAGTAACCAGGCCCTAGTCTCATTTAACCACTCACAGCATCAATTAGCTTTTTAAAAAGGTTATTTACTTTGAATATATAGCAAAAACAAAAGTAGAAACATTTTTCTATAATAACTTGGGAGCAAACTCCCTGAATGGGTTCAGACTCAGCACGGTTTCCACATAACACTGGTTGAACCAAATTCAGGTCCAAATGTGGCATCAGTGATGAGACAAGTCCCCATCTTAGCAACTGCTGCGTTGCCTGTGCTGTCAATGCTGGACTGACTGCAAAATCCATCATGGACTATATATTACCTAATGGCTTACTCTTCTGAAACTCACAGGGTTATATCCTCCAGATTAATCTCCTTTGTCTAAAGCAAAAGAACATATACAGAGGCAGGCACTGTAGCTCACCAGACTCTTATCAGAGTCAAACCAAGGGGAGAAGTCCTCCAAGAGGGAGAAAGAGGCTGAGGCTGAGGCTAAGTCTTTTTGAAAGCGGCCCCAGTTCTGGTTCTCAAATGCAGTCAATCAAAAGCACCTGCTGTTTTCTAGGTGCTTAGCAGACTGGAAGCAGTTATAGAATACCTACACATGCCCCAGAGACTCTCCAAGTCATTTCTATCACATCAAAACCATCCCAGAAGCAGGTTCTCTGTAAAATGAGCTGGAGAAGGAAATTGCAAGCCACTCTACTATCTGTGCCAAGAAAAGCCCAAATGGGGTCATGAAGAGGCAGATACGACTGAAGAACAGCAGTCCTTCTATGGTGTTTTGATAACTTTCCTTCCTACTATTAATGGTGCCCTTTAATAGGTATTTCCTTCATTCAGTCAGAAGGATTTCAATGGAAGTTCTGGCTTCTGACACATAATGGCAGGTGTGATTACAGCAAGTCACTTAGCCTCTCAGATACTTTTTAAGGCTGTAAATTACATTACATTGCTAGAGAGTTTCCTTATCTGGTTTGAAATCACAAGTTGACCCACAAAATCCCTCAAACCACACCCCACACACCACACATATGCACATATGATACTTCATTTTTAAGACCTTTCTTAGGCACTTGTAGTCCAATTTATATACCTGTCTTATCATTTCTATTAGACTTTAAATTTCTTGAGGCCAGATATTAAATCTTAACCATTTTTCGTATTTCTGCTAACATATCCCATGAACTCTCAGATCAGGCCAAAAAATGTTTGCAGGGCACTGGGGGATACAAAGGCAAAACAAGCAAACAAACAAAACACTCTCTGCCCTAAAGGAATTTTAGCCTGTGTTATTATTTAGAAAAACATGACTCATCTAAATGACAGAGATAGAAATTGCATAATATTTGTATTTTGAGTGATAGAAGGGGACACACAATAATGTTTAATCCAATAAAGTAATTGAGAAATAGTAAATTCAGGAAAGGAATTTCTATAGTACAGTATGTAAGATTAAATATTAACCAGGCACACTCTATTATTGATGACCTTGTTATTTATACTTTATTAAAAATTGATCAGGAATCTGTTGTTATTTCCTCTAGCATCAGTCACCTGAAACCACAGAAAGATCTGCATTAAAAATTAGACCTTTTCCTCTTTCCCTGTAATCTCCCCACATCCCAAAGGAGTAATTTAGACTAGTGAAAAGAGAACTTGAAAAGAGATCAGAGACTTTGGGCCCACAGGTCCCCTTACAGGTCTCAGTTTCCTTCTCGGTCAAATGAGGGCCTGAACTAAGCAATCTTTGTCTAAATCTAACTCCAGGATTCTAAGAACTGGCTCCAAGCCTACTCCTTCATACAATGGTCCATTTTGTTGTTCAGTTGTGTCTGACTCTTCGTGACCCCATTTGGGCTTTTCTTGGCAAAGACGTTAGAGTGGTCTGCCATTTCCTCCAGCTCATTTTACAGATGAGGAATCGACGCAGAGCTAAGTGACTTGTCCAGAGACACACAGCTCGTAAGCGTCTGAAGCCAAATTTGAACTCAGGAAGATAGGTCTTCCAGATTCCAGGCCCGGCACTCTATCCACTGCGCCACCTAGAAGTCCTTATATGCCCAGTTACTTGCCTTTATCTCCCTCTTTTTTCTTTCCCCAGTCCTCCTTCCTCTCTTTGTTCTTTGATCTCAGAGCTTTCTCTTTTCTCCTACCGAGCCTGCCTCAAAACTGACACCTCTTCTCTGCCCCGCCGCCATGTATATCTTCTTGCTGAAGGGAAGCTCTCCCAACCCCAGCCCAGGTGAGCTTTTCTCCAAGATAGGCGTGGAAAAGCAGGCGGATATTCCTACGTGTCATGTTTCCCTTCTTCAGGGTCTCCTCGCACCCCACTACATCTCCCCGCGTTTCTTCCTAGTCCTCCTTCGGGAGGCTCCCCTTAGATCAGTTCACCTGTTCCGCCGCTGTCCCTCGCCTAAGGCGGTCACTCCCCAGCCCTGATTCGTGGCAAAGGATCTCCCACCTCTCTCATGCCCTTAGGCCACTTGCAGTTGCTGCCGCATTCACTACATGTTACACCTTTTGCTTAGCACGCCCTTCCCTTGCTCAATTGCTAGCTCACTCGCCCGGTTTCCTCTCCACAGTCCTTCCCGTCTCCCTCTTCCCTCGGTTGAAGTGACCCTTGCTAGCGCAGACCCCTACGTGTATAGACTGCGGACCATGGGCCGTTTTTAGCACTTTATGCAGGAGACTCCCGGGGGTGGAAGCCTCTCACACTCGGACACCAGAGCGCGGAACCCTCGATGCCGCGGGGAGAGAATGGCCTGTTAATTTTGCTAGGAATAGTGGTCCTTCCCCAAAGTATTGGAGCCCAGGAAAGGTAAAAAGGGGAGACCGCGTCCTCGCTGGGGCCTCTGCCTTCATATGGTCCTATTCATCCAGTGCCCCAATTACGCGCCACGGGGGAGAGACGGCCTAAAATCATTAGCTCCACATACAAGTCTGGGAAGGTCCCAGCCTCCCGAGGCTCAACAGCTTTCCCCTGGAGCCCAGAATACCAGCTCCCTGCAGCTGCTCGTGACGGAAGTTCAACCATTGGAGGAGAGAAACACGCACACACTGGAGGGGAAAAAGCGGTTTGCACATGTTCGCTTTCTCCTGGCTTGGGCTTTTTAGTGGAAAGGTCGGGTTATCTGCAGAGGCGCTAGAGAGGAGAAAAGAGAAGGGTGCTTGGGGGACTCCCGTCCCTTAGTATTGCCAGGGGCAGCGGGGAAGGAGACCTTGGTGCTGATGGGGGTAGGACTGCAGTAGAGTATCTAGCCTCTTAAAATTTGCACACACGGGCGTCCTCGAGCATCCTCACATTGCGGTGGTCTTAAGAATTAAAGCAACCCCTAAGCCTGATGGCTTCTGCACTGAACAGCAAGATTCACCAGCCTGGGGCATGCAATGGCTCCAAAACAGCTCATCGCAGCGGCGGCGGTTCGAGAGAGGAGTACAGCCAGGAGATCCACGTGAAAATGTGCAAGAAGATCGCCCAGCTCACCAAGGTAAGCTAGGCGCGCGGTCGGAGGCCGACCGGATCCGAGCTCAGGATCCAAGCCGGGGCTCCTTCGCTGCGGCTCTCAGGCTGGCTGTGGAAAGCCCGGGGCCACTCGGCCAGCCCAGACCGAGTTCAAGCCCTTCTCGAGACTAGGCGAACAAGGTGAAACTAGGGCACAGAAACTTTGTTTCAATGAAATACCTGCTCTAAAAGGCAGCCAACGGGGTTTAGTGGACTGTGTTCTCCATCCACCCTTTGGTACCTCACAATTAAGGGCAGGAAGCATCTGTCCTACTATAACGAAAACAGCAGGTAGAAATGGATTCCTTTAAAATGAAACTGCTACCATGTGTCTTTAGCACATTATTGTGTTTGCAGGGGTATTCCCAGTAGTATAAGGATCTACCTAGTATTGGGATTTAGTTTTTGTTTTAATGTATTACTTTACCCCTCCTCCCCAGTCTCCCTTGACAGCTCTGCTGAAATATTCGTGCCTGGAATATTGTGGACTTAATTGAGTTGTGGATTGTTAAATATTTCATCCATCCATTCAGCAAATATTTATTGCCATTTGTCCAGTGCCAAAAATTTACTAGGCAAGACATTAAACCTAGGCCAATAGGATTACACCCTCCCTTTACAAGTATATTCTGTGTGAGCATAAATGTGGAAAGGCCCAGTATAACTAATAAGCTATAATTCATGGGATTAGAAAAGACCTTGAGAGGTCACCTAGGCTATTTCTCAGACTTCATGCCAGGGCCATCACCAGAGCACCCCCAGATTTGGAACTTGGTCTGGATTTGACTTCAGAAGACTTGGGTTCACATTCAGGTTCTACTACTTAATATTCAAGTTCTACTACTTACAGCTTGTGTCACCAAGATGAAGTCACTTATCCCTTCTGCATCTGTTTCCTTATCTGTAAAATGAATGAGTTGAATCAGAACTAGTCAATCTGATTGTCCTTTCTACCCTGAATACTGTTATTCTAAAAAAAAAGTCACATCTGCCTTAGGTTATCCATTCGAATGATTTAGAACCTTCGATGTCAGAAAATCCTTCTAGATAACTAACCTAAATTCCTCTCAATGGGCAGGAAATTTTGCATTGCCTTACATTAGTAAAATTGAAAAAACATCTAGTCATTCCCCTTCTTTTGAATAAAAAGTCCATAGCACTTTAATTCACTCTGGTGCAGTGAATAAAGCACTGGATGTGGAGTATGGAAGAAGTTGTCAAATCCGACCTGACACTTACTAGTGTGTGACCTTGGGAAAGTCACTTGACCACTGTTTGCCTCAGTTTCCTCAACTGTATAACATGAGGATAATAATAGCACATACCTCCCAGGGACTGAATGAAATATTTGTTAATCACTTAGCACAGTGCCTGGCTTATAGTAGGTGCTCAATAAATGCTTGTTTCCTTCCTTCAAACCATAGCTATAACTAGCATTGACTAACAGGTTTTCTCCAGGGGTCCCTTACTGAGGCAACTCGCCTTAGTAGGCCTGTGGATTTGGAGAGCTTAGAACAATCTAGTGTAATCCATTCATTTTACATATGAGAAAGCAGACACCTACATGTTGCTTGTAGGTCACACAGGTAGTGGGTTGCCCAGCCAGAACTCTGCTCCTGGTCTTCTGACTCCAATCCCAGCGTCCTTCCATCTCTGCCTCTTTCCTCACGGGCCTCACGTTTTTCATCACTGTGTGCCCCTTTCCTACACTACCTTCCCCTGCATTACCAAGGCCTCCTGGGGGATGATGGGCCATACTCCTCCCAGAACAACTACACCACAAAAATGGAATCTCTTTCCTGCTGCCTGCTCAGTCCATTGTACTGTGCCCCAACCTGAATTTGCTCCAAGCATATTTTAGCTAATTATGACTCTATTCATATTAATTTAGCTATAAGTCTTAATCAAGAAGCATTTGTTGAGCTCCTAATATATACTGGGGATTGTACTGCTCACTGAAAACACAAAGACAAAAGTGAATTCCTGCCCTCAAAGAGCTTACATTCTATCAGGGGAAACAATGTGTACATAAATGAGTATATACAGAATAGATACATTGTAACCTTGAAAAGGACTGTAGGGTTAAAGGTTTCGTTCAAAAGTGGACACTTGAGCTGGCTCTTGAAGGAAACTAAGGATCAAAGGAGGACTTGAGGAGGGAATGAATGCATCCTAGGCATGGGGGCAACCCAACCTCTTTCTGCAACTTTACACAGAAGACAGGTAATAAGAATATTGCCTGGTATGGCAAAAAGGCCACTTTGGCTGGGCTGTAGAGTACATTATGGCTGGGAAAGGAGGATGGTACAAGATAGTGAAAAGCTTTAAATTCCAAACGGAGGAGATTATATTTGATACTGAGTGAGGGGTGAGGGTGGGGGTGGTGACATGATCAAATCTGCATTTTAGAAAAGTCACTTGGATAGCAGTATGGAGAGTAAATCGGAGTGAAGAGAGGCTTGAGGCAGAGAGATCAATTAGGAGGCTACTGCAACAGTCCAGAGGTGAGGAGTGCTTTAGAGGGCTATTTTAATGTAAAATAATATTATTTTGGTTAAATTGTAAATTATTTTGGGGCTAGTCTGTTTACTAAGAACCACCTCTACACATCAACTATTACTCTATGTTTTGTTATTTGTAAACATGGTAGTTTAAAATGATCAACTGACCCAGGCACGTTCCAATGAAAATACATTTCTAATGAATTTTATTATGCAAAGTCATAAAAATTGACTAAATTTTCTAATATACCAAAAGTTCACATTTTTGTTTAAGAAAATACCTCTGGTTTCAGAACCTTTTAGGTGGGTGATTCTGAAACAGCACAGTATAATGGAAGAAATGCTGGATTTTGAATTATAGGATATAGGTTATAATCCTGCGTCTGTTGCTTACTACTTATCAGTCAGACATCAGACATTTATTAAGCGCCTACCTTGTGTCAGTTACTGTGCTGAACAATGGACCTTGTGTGACCTTAATCAAGTCAATTCACATCTCTGGGTCTCAGTTTCTTCATGTGTTAAATGAAAATCTCTAAGATCCCTTCCAGCTCTAAATCCTGGGACCCTGTGAAATACAGGTGCTCTCCTAGGCAGTTGCCATTCTCTAATGTGTTTGGAGATAAGGTAATGCTGATTTAGAGCAATTCTAGGCCCTGAAGAAAAATCAACAAGATTCCCAGAATAGTCTCAATTTTTATTGTTGGGCCATTGATGGAGGAGAGGACATTTGGAATCTAACAAGGCTTTGACACCATAGCCACAGAGGAAGTTAGGAGATATGCAAGTCCAGAAACAGCATGCAAGATTTCCCATTGTTATATGGTAACTGTTTATTCCCAGGGAGAAATGGAAGATAGAACCCCTCCATGTATTGCTATTTATTCTCTCCCCCCACCAGATTCCCACTCTTTTGCTTTTTTATTGATGACCAGAAGGCATACCCACAATGAGCTTCCTGTGTTCCAGGTTTATGTTGGGATAGAATGAATGTTTTGCCTCCAAACTTCCCCATACACCTAGGATAGCTTCTTCCAGTGTAACTGGCTCAATTTCTTCTGATACTTTCAACCTCTCCCATTTATTTCTTTTGCCATTCCTCCTCACCCAAACTTCTCAGGTTTCGTGTGACATCACTGTACTCTGGCTCTGATCCTAGACCAGTGAAGCCAGGAACAAGTGCCTTGAACTGACTTTTCTAAGGGGGAGGGGAGAAGTACTAGATGGTGACTCTTTGTATCTTTATTTTAAGTAAGTATTTTAAGTAAGTAAATATTTTAAGTAAGTTTTGTATAAATGATTCCTTAAATGATATCTTCTGGAAAAGCCATTTCCCTACTTTGTGGTATGAACTAGTTTTGTAAATCCAAACCCTGTATCAGAGGATAGTGTAAAAGTTATTGGTTGTTAAAGTGACCAGGGAACAAAAATTTTAGAATTAGTATAGTACACTAATCACATCTCCAATCTAGCCAAAGAAATTTAAAATGTATACAGTGGGTGCTTTTCAGTCTTCTTTCCAAAGGGAAAGCTGGTGGGGAAATTTCTGATTAGAGGTAGGGAAAAGCAATGGAAGGACTTTTACACAGCCCAGCAGCACCATGCAATTAAGCAATTTTTCTCCGTGTGTGTGTGTGTGTGTGTGTGTGTGTGTGTGTGTGTGCACGCGCGCGTGCATGTGTATGTGTGTGTGTGTGTCTGCTGCAGTGGGTAGAGAAGAAAGGTAGAAATTGCTCTGAGAGATGGTTGTAGGAGAGGATATGCTCTATTATTCTTTTCCTAAATCTCTACAGAGGTTGAATGAGATGATGAGAGACTGGGAATTTAGGTGCTATTAACTGAATAAGAAAGCTGGTGGCAGTCAGAGGATTCTTGCTTCAGAATTTTTAGCTAGTAGTTGTGTGAATTTACAAGGGTTTTTGATACTATAGTAGCCTAAAGCTGTGGAACCATAGACATAGAAAGAATGTGGGGTTTTTTTTACTCTAATTTAAGAGAAACAAGGTAAGTTACAGAAAAGAATACTGAAGGAAATTTGGGATGGAGTAGATGAAGGGAAATGAAATGAAGGATTGACAATACAGCTAGTTGTACCAAGGTGTTGTTAAAAGTTTGCTGTGAAGACTTTAAAAATGTAATAGTCTTTAATATTATAATTTTAAAAAACTTTTATTGAAAGCCTTTTATATGTTTTTTAATCATCACCTTCATTTTCAAACATATCCTCTTCCTCCATACACAGGGAGACACTCCTTGTAATGAAGAATAAAAAAGAAAGGAAAAATTGCTGTTCAGCAAAACTAACCAACACATAAATCAAGTCTCACAGCAAATTCAACATTACATACCCACAATCTCCCATTTCTGCAAAATAGGGAGGAAAATAGGTTTTCTTATCTCTTCTCTAGGGCCAAGCAAACTTGGTTATTATTATAGTTATATAGTATTGGGTTTCATTTCATTCACCCTCCTCTTTACAGTATTG